GGTGAACCAGGAAACCACCGATCGCAGGGTATCGTAGAAAGATTTAACCGAACGCTAGCCAAGAGACTGTTTGGTCATCAGTACGCTCAAGAAATGTTAAATCCCGAGAGTAGAAACACGCAATGGGTCGAGCGATTACCCAGCGTGGTCAAGGCAATAAATGATGAAACGACGAGATTAATAGCTAAAGCACCGTCAGAGGCGGTTAAACTTGAACAGGTCCGGCAATCGCCGGCTAACCCCGTTAAAACAAAAGAGCAGAATTTACCGCAAGACGCCATGGTTAGATATTTATATTACCCAGGCGAGCAAGAGGGTGGAACCTCGAGAAGAGCCACGGATCCCATTTGGAGCGTAGACATCTTTAACGTGGAAAAAAGAACGAGTCAGTTTAAAATGATTAAAGGTAAAAAAGTCACGACGGGTCCTACTCTTTATTACTTTCAAAACGCCCAAAATGGAGTTTTGTGAGACAAGAGCTTCAAGTCGTACCCGAGGACACGCAATTACCGCCGTAGTGACCAAAAGCCAGCGTGTTTATACCGTCCGGTAAAATGTACCTCTTTGTGTCCAACGGACTCGACGATAGTTTATTTTGAGATACGGTGTAAGAGATGTGATTTTCCGATCTAATGTGAGTCATTGTTTCGTAGTGAGATTTCTTATTTAAGATGCAGTAGTAATAGTGTCGGTGTTTTAATTTCTTAGAGGTGACCGATTTTGTGACACCCTTGGCTTTTTTTAAGTTGATGTCAGCGGTTAAAATTGAGTACATTTTAGGTCTTATGCAAACGACTTCTTTGATTATTTTACCTCCAAACTCGTCTTTAAATTTACCGATCACTTTCTTATTGGTTGGATCGTACAAAGGATGATCCGTCGGATAATTCGAAAGGTCGTATTGTTGCCCGTTTTGCTGCATATCTTTGTATACGTCGTCAGTGTAGACACTTAAGAGTAAACTGTCCGTGTCAGTATACAGTAATCTGACTCGGTCTCCATACGTCGCTTTCATTCGATTATAATAAAAATCATACATCAGCGTCTTTGAGAGATCCAAGATACTCACTCCGCAGTAGATCGGTTTGTTTAACACGGTTTTAGTCTTGTACATTTCGACAAATGACAATTTGCATTCTGAAAATGACGTCGTCGTTTTGTAGCTCGGTTTCTGTATAATTTTTTGGTATTTATCTCGATCGTCATCGTTATTGTCTCTGAGCAGGTAACCGTCAATCCTGTTTCTGACGTTTTCCGTCGTCTTACCAAACACGCTGTTATTCATGAGTTTAAAAAAGTCTTTCTCAAAATCAGAGGTCGCTTTTGTTCGGAGTTGCGTGTTTTTGTCTATGTAAGATGCCATCCAAGGCGCTTGTTTAAATTGCAGCACTCGATGTACCTTTTTAAGTTTCAAGCCGAGTTTGAGATACAACTGCAGTTTAGGATTAAGGGTACACGTGAATTTTTGCACGTTGCTACTAGGTTCGGTATCCAATAACTCGTTTTGATAATCAGACATCCATTCTTTTGGTATGACGATATTTTCTGGCGCTAGGGGATAATCATTGTGCAGGTCGTGGAGATTGTCCGGGTAATCGAGGTCTACTTCGAAGCAGTAACCGGTGTTTGACGTTTTCCTGAGAGATAATATCTTGGACTCGGTAAACGTTTTTGTAGACGCCCATTTAAAGTCTTTGTACGGCAGGTATTGACTCATGGCCCAGCCGTACAGATTGTTTGCATCGAGGTAGGTGATGTAACTCGACGGCTCGTTTGGATTATGGTCTGGTAGGTATTTGTTGTTGGCTTTGTGGTATCTCATACCACCCACGCTCGAGATACCACCTCTTTTTGCCTTTTCAAAAAATAAATGTTTGTCTACGTCTTGCAATAGTTCGAGTTTAACTTCCGAGTGTTTTAACAAGGCATCCCACGACAATCCTGGTGCTGTATAGTAATTAGCCGGATCTAACGCGTAGTTTGTAATACACGTTTTCCTAAAGTTTTCAAATACGCATGCCAGTAATAACGTATCGGTAGTGACGTACAAATCGTGATATTCCCCCATGTTTTTAACTTTAAACTCGTTCCACGTCAGTTTAGCTCTGTCGTAGTCCTCTCGCGATATATTTTCGTCTTTTAGGCTGCTATGAAATTGTTCGATGGGGGGTAGGCTGGTCTCTTGAAATCTGTCAATCGAGTCCATGTATTCATACGGATAAACTCCTTTTTGTAACAACGAGTCGATATTTTGACGATTAAAATGTTCTCTAAGTAGTTTAAACGACTCTCTCGGACAAGCTTTAGATAATCTATCCAACGAAGACGCCATAAAATTAAACGAGTCTATAAATCGCATATTTCCGATCGAAAACGAAATATACTTTTCCGAATTTCTAGCGATAACTTATATTTTCTTTTCGTCATCGTACTCTGAAATACTCTGCATGATCAAGTGAGCGTCGTAATTTTGCAGATTGTGAAAGACGACTGGTATGGGGGTAAAACCTGGTTTAACTTGCAGTATTTTAGATTGCAGTAGGCGTGCGCGGCACCTCTATATCTACCCGTGACGTGGCAGTGATCTCTCACCTTTCTAAATTTGTTGATTTTCTTTTTGCATTTGAGGCATTTAGACTCTGTAAATCCATTTTTGTTTTCGTACTGATGTTCTTTTATTTGTTTTTCTGTTTTTGGTTTTTTGGGTTTCTGGCACTGACAGTTGCTCGAGTAATTGGGATAAATTGGTTTCTCGCAAATCCAACACGTGCTTGTTTTATCATGATGTTCTTTAGCTCGCTCGTTAAATTTCATGGGTTGGGGTTTTTTAAATATGCAATTTATGTCGCTTTGTATTTTTAACATTTTATGTACAAACTTTGATGCGGCATCTTTACCTCTATAAGTCTCTTGATACGCATTGGTGCCGTCGCATCTAACTACTACCAACGAGTAACCGCTAGCTTTGTGAATGTTTGTCTTTTGCGTGTTATTCTTTTTATCGTTCGAGTTTCTTTCTAATATCGATTCAAAGTCGGCATAAACTACAAATGGTGCTTTCTGTTTAAACCTGTAGTTTTTAAATTCTAATATTGGCACATCGTTTTCGTCGACTATCCACTCGTTATTTACATATTTTCGCTTAGCGGTAGGAAATACAATCTTTGACGGATGTGTATCTATACCGTTACAATCGGTCATGTGTCTATCTAATTTTACTTGCGTTCTATAATGACACAGGCACCTTCGACAAAAATATTTCTTACTTTTATGTTTTGTAACGTTGTAAATCAATCTCGAAAAATTATTTATCCAGCAGTAGTGATGCTTGTCGCCCTCAGAAAACAAAAACAGATCGATAGGTCGTGACTCTGCTTTGTAGTTTTTAGACACATATAACGGATATATTTCCTCCTCATAACCGTATACGTTTATCGTTAAATTATTTTGTCTTTCTATCTTTGGTATCTGATCATCGGTGTTGGAAAATCTACGCCTTTAAATTTAAGTCCGTCGTCTTTGGTGTATACAACAGGTTCTTCTTTATGAATTTTATATTTAGGATCGTTTTTTATATTATTTTTTACTTTATCCGTATACAAGCCAAGAGCAGCTCTCAAACACCATCTCAAACAATCGTCGTCTTTGTTTTTAATGTTTATCATCGCCGTTTTCTGTTTGATACATTTTGGTAGGTCAATATAAGAACTACCTCTCACGGGGTTAAACCTGTTGATGTTGATATACAACGCCATTATCTTTTTTAAAACCCAACCCGATCCTTGATTCGTATACCTTTCATCCTTTTTAAATATCTGGTCGATGTCTTCTTTTAAAACCTGTTTTATTTGACTTTGATTTAAAACGACTCTCTGATCGGTAAAATGTGTAGCTTCGATCGTTTCGATCGTACCATCCGGTTTGGTTTTTTCGTATTTTATTTTGATTGTGAGCTCCATTTTTAAACCTCTCAGCTCTCTCAATTCTGACTTGATTTTATTTACAATTTGATCTTTGTGCGTATCAAAAAACTTGACTAAATCGTCGTTAAAAAGTCTAGGAATCAGTTCCCAGTTTCTAAAGTTGTTTCTAAATCTCCTCGTCGCTCTAAACTCAGCCTCTTGAAAATACTCGGGTTGCCTAGAGTTTTGAATCGCCGAGAGTAAATCTTTTTTCAAAAATCGACCTTTATAACCCGACGGGTTATATTCTAGATCATAATCGTCTGCAATCTGTTTGAGCTCATGTAGCTTCTTTTTCCTCAAGTTTCTAAATTGAGCTTCGTATTTTTTTATCCCGTTGATGTAGACTTTACGCGTAAGAGCAACATTTTGATCGTACGGTACATTATATCGCTGGACGATTGGCCTAATCATATCCATCATTTATATATATCAATATAATTTTTTAAATTTTTTTTAAGAGGTCAGACTTTTAGATTTATAAGCAATCAGACTCACCAGCTGGACAGAGAGAGATCTTCAAGACGAGAGATATTATTCCCTGGTTTTGGCGTGGGGCTGAGACTGAGATATTGGGAGGGAGATCATTGGGAGGGATCAGGGGGTGGGGGAGGGGAGGGAGCAGAGATCATTGAGAGGGGGCGGGTGGGGGTAAAGTCTGGTACCCTCCCTTCTCCCCATTGGCCCTGTACTACCCCCAGACCTATGGCAAAGTCTGGTATCCCCCACTTATACCTACTAATAGTACCTAAATGATTATTGTTATTGTTTTGTGAGCCCCTAAGATATACATGTAACGTGAGAATCGTATGTACGCGCGCCACAGTGATAAGCTGGGGTCAAGGGTCATGCGAACCGAAACAGTGCAATGCAGTATGTATGCAACTTACATGCCCTGTGGCGCTACGTGTACAGTGCACAGAGAAACGTATCACGTGGAGAAAGTTTTCAGACTTTGTCCACGGACAAGACCATCAGAAAATTCCCATTTTCGTCAATAATAAGAATGACACAACATAAAAATGAATATGAACATACCCAGTAGTTGATTATTGTTAGCCTGGTATGTGTGGGTTGTCTGGCTCGATTCCTGGAGCTTGTAAAATGAGGTGTTTTCGGCATGAATTCAAAAGGGCAGCTCACAGAAAACGCATTAAGACAACAGAGAGAGAGAAAAGTGGGCGGGGCGTCAGAAGACGCTTATCAATATTCATGATCCCTACATTAATAAGCCTTTTTTAAACAAAGTGTTATTCTTTGGAAATAAACAAAATGCTAACTAGTGAAATTGAACAGTTAAAACATTTTCTAAAACCGATCTCATAATAAACACCCTATAGCACTGTTGACATTAAACGCTAACTGTTTTGTTTAAAAACACATGATGTGTTTAATTTTGTCACATAGTGTTTAAATCTAAAACACTGCGTTTATTTTATAAACGTGTCACATGTTCTCGCGTTTTACAGTGTAGTTCAACTCAACCAAATTGTGAATAAAGTTGCCGGAGATGATTGCTCACTCATGCAACTCAGAACAGCCTGCTATGTGTCATTGAAGTTTGCCCTTTTGTTAAGCACAATGAGATTGCTGAAATCAAAGCCAATCACATCATACCTCTACCAGACGCACAAGGTCTTAAAATTTTTATTCCAAAGTCTAAAACCGACATTTTCAGAGAGGGCAATGTAGCATTTCTTCCCACCTCACAGAGTTTCTATTCCCCATATGTTATTCTGACAAGATTTATGAAACAGCTAGGGATCAGTATAGGTGACGATCAGTTCATTTTTACTCCTCTTACTTTCTGTTCTGCCTCCAATTCTTACAAGCGTACCCAGAACAAACCTCTTAGTTACACAAGATCAAGAGAGTTGTTTTTTGATGCACTTAAATCAATCGGAGTTGAAGATGTGAAACGTTTTGGCCTTCATAGTTTGCGGTCAGGAGGGGCCACACGCTTAGCTAACAACAAAATTCCAGAGGAACTTATAATGCAACATGGCCGGTGGAAGACCACTACGGCAAAGAATCGATATATTAAGAGAAACTTAACCACACGTCTTCAAGTGTCAAAAGCTGTCTATAACTGAGTAAAAAAAAAAAAGTTATGCCAAGTGGTACGTAAGATGTATAAGAAGTCGTAATATGTATAATGGACTTGGGCAAGAGTAAAATAATTACATAATTATGTATCAAAAGTGAGAATAATTTTTTTTGGGCCATATGTAATATGTATGACCAAAAAAAGGGTCCGTTTCTTTTAATATCAGTATGATGTTCCCAGGCAGAAAACCTGAAGGGCCGAGATGGCCAAGGTCGGGCAGTTGCCCAGTGCAGCCCCTGTGGCTATGGTTTAATATGTTAAAAGAAAAAAAAAGTGGTATGAAGCAACTTCTTGGTTACTGTTTTACTTAAATCTAATGTTTGTTAAAAAAAAAAACTCTCGCCATAGGCACTCAGCAAACGACGGACAATTTTGTCGTCGATGCTGAGGCAAACGTAATGTATGGTCACGATGACAATGCCATCAAAAGCATTCACCTGACATCCGGAGATGGATGTCAGGGACGGTTCTGGCGTCTTAAACACGACATCGAATCAATTCCCTGGCAGGGGCTGGACAGCCGACAGGTGGTCCTTGGTCGCAATTCCTAGCTTACTTACTTCCGAGGAAAAAAAACGTGTTTCGGCGTAACTTCGCCACCGAACCGCAGCTCGACGGCGCACTCTTTATATCGGAGAGATGGCATCTTGCCTATCTCTGACAAGGAAACAAAAATCGAAGAAAAAGAAATTCACCGGTTGCAATTAGCAACAAACAAATACACAGGCCGGTGAATACTCCTGGTAAAACACCGACCAGTTACTAATATGATTACTGCAGGATGCAACTGCCACCCTGCTGCAATAAGAAAAAAAAGGACAGTCATCAAATTGCTGATCAACAAGGAATTTATATTATGCAAGTGCAAAATGCACAGAGCCTATATGTACAAGATGGCGTGGAAGGCAAGGCTTTTGACCTTCACACTATACAAAAAACAACCAGAACAGAAAACCCCGTAGAGTTACGCACACGACTGTTGTTGCGTAAACCACGGGTAACTGAATCAGAAGAAAGGAAAGGCCGTGCACTGCCCGGCGTGAACAAAAGAAGAGCTGAACAAAGGAATACACTGGCTAATACTGTACCGTGTGTTCAGCCAGCTACGAAAACACAACCCACAAACCCCTCCAAATCCACCAAAAATCCAATAAAAAAAATCAAACGAAAAGTAGACAGACTTTGTCTATAAACTGACCAAAACCCCTGGTAGAAATATAAACTCGGGAAATGCTCTGTAGAATGACTACGCTTCAAAAAAACACGGAGCTCCTGGAAGTCATTCAGTTTTAGCCAAAAGGCCGAGAAGCGATAACGATTAATATTAAAACAATAGCCCGGAAAGGGATTATTCGCCTAGAAATATTGTATGCTATTGTTCTTCTTCTTATTATTTTTTTTGCTTTTTTTGTTTCCTGGTGTGAAAAAAAAAGGACTCGTGCGCGTCCACCGCAAACTCAACGAAACCCGTGGAGAGAGAGAGATGAGCAAGAAATCTCCGGCTTTCTCAGATTAACAGAGACATATACATTCTTAAAAATATTTCTACCATGCATTTTCATACACCTCGATCATATTTCACCAAGAATCTTGATGAAAAAATTCCACACACCAAAAAATGGGATCAATCCATTATTGAGCGAGAGCGTCGGCACTAAATACCTTACGTACGATGTACCGGGACAAGCATATCAATAGATGGCGCCCTTCAACACTCCCGGTCATCGCGCCTCGGCGTTTCCCATCTGGGTATTTCTCATGCCCTGCCAATGGGTCCCACTTTTGGGGAGGGGAAATACTTCAGTTTGTCAGTAAGCTCCCTGGTCGAGTGGTTAGAAAGCACCCCAAAAAAAACACGGGAAAAAAAAACGAGTGACAAACATACGGATTTCCCTGGTTGCTATTTATGTTTGTTTTGTAATAAAGACAATAATCACACACACACCCATTCGCGGACAAAATGTCACGGGTCCCTTTTTACGTTCCCCGCTATATCCTGAGACGAGCAGCCAATAATTATTACATAATCGACTTGGAAACTTTGCAGACCAGACATGTTACTTGACTCACACTTTACATACTAAGATAGAGCCCAATTTAAAAAAACCAAATAATACAATCCTGAAAAGGGTGACCCGAATTTTATGTGAAAAGAGAAGGGGGAATAAAGTGAAAGAGAAATGAGTGGAAATAAGGGAGGGGAAAAACAACACTAAGAACACCAGTGCTGTAGGTCTCGAGACCGGTCTCGGTCTCGGTCTCGAGACCACTTTTTGCCGGTCTCGGTCTCGGTCTCGGGAGCTGTGGTCTCGGTCTTGGTCTCGGTCCCCTTTGGTCTCGATATTTTGGCTGGTCTCGAGTCGAGACCAGCCAAAAAGTGAGGGGGGCGGATTCCGCCCCCGGCCCTTTTCGGGTTAAGTAAAGAATCAGTTTAGGGCAAATGTGATTGCAGTGTGATGCTAATGGACATGTCTCTCTTCACTTTCTAGTGAGTGAGGCATAGTCCAATAACCATTGCTCCTCTTCTTATATTTCTCGTTTTTATTGTGGGATGATCTGTTGAAACAAGCACTTTATAGCCATCCTCATTGATTCCAATTACAACTGAGATTTAAATCTTATGAATCCAGACTGAAACATTATTTTTACCGTCAGATTTCGTATTTTGAATATGGGGAACAATTCAACTTTTTTTTCCCTAGAAATATTGGTGATTTTTTTGTATTTTTCTTTTCAATTTAAATCGCGCAGGAAGTGATAATGACTGTTTATTATGAATGAGTACTGCAAAGCAGTGCAATGTATATCTGTGCGTGGGAGCGCCACAGTGACCTGGTTTAGAAACAAGTTGTAGATGTTATTTACAGTGACGGTGTTCCAGTTGATTGTCCAAACATTAGGAAGAGCAAGAATCAGTTTACAGAAAGTGACATAGATACGAGGAACCGTCGAAGAGTGAGGAAGGCTATTAGAAAAAAAGACCAGACGGAAGGAAGTTACGAAGGGAAAAGGAACACCAAAAAAAGAGCTAAAAAACTCCAAGGCGGAGCTACAGGACTGCAAAGACAGCTGAAACCCTTAATGAAAAGGGCATCAGCTTTAAATCTGATGTTGGTAACGCCAAGTCCACCGCTGTCAACAGACTGACAAACAGTGGACCGGCGTACCAGTTCCGTCTTACCAGACCAGAGAAAGGAGAAGATGATCTTGTTGATCTTCTTTTCAACGGTGACTGGCAGCGGATAAACAGGAGCTATATACAAAATGTAAGAAAAAAGAACTGTATTAATTACTAACACTTTGCCAATTTACGATAAAAAGCGTTTACTCCAACTTTCCACAGAAGAGATTACTAAGCTGCTCTCTCCATTCGCCTAAAGTATAACCTTTAGACTTAGTTACATTAAGACGAGAACCGCTAGCTCCTTGAAACATGCTAGTAATATTAAATAATCTGTGAAGAGAAGGAACATTTCGAACGATACAAGTTGTATCGTCCGCATATTGAAGTATTTTAAACTGCATGTCGTTACTTACTGGAATAAAAATGCCTTGAATTCCCTTTTCGTTGCGGACAGCCGCTGCGAAGGGCTCAATTAAAGCTACATAGAGAAGAGGTGACGGGGGACATTCCTGTCTAACACCTTTCTGTAAAGAGAACAGATTAGAAAGAAAACCATTAGCAAGAACTTTGCTAAAAATATCCGTATATAAGATTTTCAGCCACTTAATAAAGTTAAGCCCAAAACCAAATTTGTACAGCACTTTGTAAAGAAATGACCAATTCACTCGATCAAACGCTTTCTGCTGATCCAGCGAGATGCATGAGCAGAGTGTTTAAATTTCTCTCCTTTGCATAAAAAAACGAGGTCCCGCAGAAGTCGGGCGTTATCCTGTATGGATCTCCCTTTGACTCCGCAGGTCTGAAAAGGACTAATAATCGTGGATAAAACAGAAGAAAGACGGTTACAGAGCGTTTTGGCAAGAATTTTATAATCTACATTCAATAATGAAATCGGCATTTTGTTTTGAGGCAAAGAAAGGTCCCCTGGCTTATCCAACAAGGTGATAATGCCGGTCCTTTGTGAATTGGCTAAAATATGAAGATCAAAAGAAATGTTAAAAACAA